TCACTTATGACCCTTCCCCAAGGAAAAGGGGGGATGCCTACCCTGGAAACCAGCACGGGAGGATGCCTGCCGGGAACTGAAGTGTTGGAGAAGGGTCATCTCCCCCACTAAAACACAGGGATTCCTGAAGTCCTGTGTGTGCGGCCTGGCTCTGCCAGGAGACTGCTCCACCAGCTCATTGTGAGGCCCCCGCAAGTCATCCACCCACCTCAGTTTCCCTACCTACAAAAAAATGACTCCATTACCTTCCAACTCAAATGGTATTTGACTGTGATTCTAAATCTTAGGGCCTGAAGAGAGGGCAAAGAAGAAGTAAAAGACCCAGGAAATCCACATCAGAGAAGAAGCACGCCCAAACCATCCCCCCTCACTCCATCTTGGGGCCTTCATGTCTACTTCCAAAGGGCAGGAGTTGGGACTCATTGCTGTTATAAACGATTCTCCCCAACCTGCTGGCTCAAGGGGCTCCCCAGAGCTGACCACTGGGGCTGGGGCACTTGAGCAGAGGCTCAGTTGCTTTGGGAGACCTAACTGCCGGTGGGTGGAATTTATAGTCCATCTGTAGTTATAGAAAGAGGGAGACAAATGTGGGCCAGGATTAGAAAGTAGACCTGAGTCACCTGATCCAGAGACCAAAGAAGTTTGCCAAAGGGAGAAAACAAAACTGCCGCCTCTTCCACAAACACAGAGGACCCTGGGAAGATGGGCAATGGAATGGTCAAGACTCAAAGCATAGAGGCCGGGCTCAGTGGCTCATGCCTAATCCCAGCACTTTGGGAGGCTGACACAGAAGGATCATTTGAGGCCAGGAGTTCAAGACCAGCCTGGGCAACATAGTGAGACTCTGTCTCTACCCAAAATACTGAAAGTCAACCAGGCCTGGTGGCACACACCTATAGTCCTGGCTACTCAAGTAACTGAGGCAAGAGGATCACTTGAACCCAGGAAGTCGAAGCTGCAGCGAGCTATGATTATGCCACTGCACTCCAGCCTGTGTCACAGAGCAAGACCCCGACTCAAGAAAAAAAAAAAAAAAAAGGAAATAAAAAGGCTCAAAGGATAAGAGTTCAGGGCTCTGCTTCTCAACCAAACCTTCCTTGCACCTTCCACCAGGTGGCCTAGTTTTCGTCTTGCCTGCATTCCTGAGGCTCTGCTCAGGGTATGGAGAGGGGCCTCTGACACGGTTGAGGGCCTTCGCAGGTCAGTCAGGGAAAAGAGAACTCTATACTTCTAAACGTTCATCTTTCTAGTTTTACCTGCCAGAAGGGAGAGCTCAGCTCTCTCCTGAAAGAGCCCTGGTGCCCACCTCTCCCAAAATAAAAAAATAAAAAAAAAAAAGAGTGGGCCACAGACCCCCAAGAGATTAAAAAGAATAGAAGGGATTTATGAACTTGCACACCTCAGACACATACCAGGAACCTGTTTGTTCCCTTCTGAACAACTCCAGAGACCCCTCCTGTAATCTGCAGAGCTCCCTGCCAGCCTCAAATCCAGACAGACGTGAGCTCCTGCCCAATGAAGCCCCCTCCCCAGACCCCCCTTACCTGGTCTCCCATGGCAAGGGTCACCTCCTGGTGGCTGCTGCTGGAGGCAAAACAAGTCTGGCATGGATCACGAGCTAGGATGGATTATGCCCCCCTGCAGTCCCGAGGCCTATCCCACCTTAAGTGCTAAAGCCCTGGGGTGGCTGATGCCAGAAATACAGATGGGAGCTGTGGGTGGGGCCGCCACAGCTCAACCTACTCACCTGGGTTCCCCGGCTGGCTCTGGCTGCGGCTCTGCACTGCCCCATGGAGCGGGTGCTGCGGCTGGGTAGGGGGATTATTCTCCACTCAAATTGTGCTTCTCTTTGTTGGGGCCTCCCATCATCTGGCTGCACTGCTAGAAAGCCTCTCCCACACTACTGGGCATTCCCCCACTCTCCCTCCCTGCAGCCTTCTCAAATCCTTCCTCTCCCTTCCTGATGACCCTTCTCCAGCCAGGATCTCCCCCTTTCCTCTCACTCTTTGGCCCCTAGCACTCTCTAGTTCCCCATCTCAGGTCTCTTCCACCCAGCCTCGCTTGAGAATCTCCCCTCAAGGTCATAGGCCTGCCTCTGTTGGCTTCGGGGTCCCTCCTACCCTGACCGCTCCTCCTGGGGGTCCCTCTGCTGTCCCTCAAACCTCTCTTTCCTCCCTCTCTCCAACCTGCCCCGGCCCATTCCTCATTCCTTTAACATTTCTCATTCCTCGAGCCCCCAACCTCCCTGAGTCCACAACCCTCTCACCGAGACGCTGCACCCGCAGGGACTCGGCTGCCAGCTCACCCCAGGGCAGCCAGACACAAAGCAGCCAGCAGAGCACAGACGCCAGGACTCCCATAGGGACGTGAGGGGATCAGGGGACTTGAGCGCAGGGCCAGCCTCCCGAGGTGCCTCCCCGGGCCAAGGCAGGGTCACACCTCCACTCTGCAGCTGAGGTCCCTCTTGCTCTCATGCCCCAGAGCTCCCTCAGCCCCTCCTCCCAGGCTCTCAGCTCCTCCCCGAACTATAGAGTGACAGGAGTGCCCAGCTTATTACCATAATTTAGGCTCCTGTCCATAACCCAGCCTCTGCTCTTCTTGGCCTGTGGCTACGCCTCCCCAGGGGAGGTTAGATTCAAATTATTCAGCCCTAAATTCTCTAGGGGAGCAAAGAGGTAGCCTGTGCAAACTCCAGCTCCCCTTACCTGGGTCCTGGAAGCCCAATACCAGAGACCCAAGATGCGGGTATGAGTCTGACCCTATCCTCTCCTTTTACAGAGGGCCATGCTGCGGCCCTGGGACATGCCACTCAGGGGTCAGTGGTCAATAGCAGAGCCTGTGGAGTCCTAGCCTATGTCCCACCACGCCCCACCTCAACTTCCACCTGGGTCTCCACATCCCTATCCTATGACCAGTTTTGAGCACCTCTAAGGAATGAATCATGCCTTAGTCCTCTGAATGCCCAGCACAATCTCCTGCCCTAGCTCAGGAAATGACGACTGAATAATAAATGTGTTTCATACTCCTATGTTGTTGCCACCATCAAGGCCAAACTTTGACAAAACAACTTTATATGTGTGAACAAGGTCCACTGTCTGCCCAGGAGGAATTTTAAAATGGTGAAAACATGGGACTGAGCACCTGGGGAACCTGTACATCGTTCACTTCATCAGCACTTAGGGAACACCAACTAAATGCCAGGTCTTACATAGGATGATGATGTTGGTGGTGGTGGTGGTGGTATTGGCCCCAGTAGACTCCTAGGCAAGGGCATAGATTTGAGATGCATTCATTCATTCATTCATTCATTCATTCACTCAACAAATTTGTTTGGCATTGATTCCATGTCATGCATTGTTCTAGGCATATAGTGGTAAAGAAAGCACACATAGCTATCTTCACACAGGAGGAAGCTAGGGGCACAGATAGGAAGATGAAGAGGAAAGAGCTAAGGATGCAGCCTTAAGGAACACTGGTTAAGAAATAGGCAAAAGCTGATTGTCTCCAAGGAAGCTTGAAAAAAAAAATTCATGGAAAGGAGAACTAGGTCTCAATGCTATTCTCAAAACAAAGCAGGGGGCATTTTAAGGTGGAGGGAGTCTGTGGGGGTGATGACCAATGTAAAATAAGGATTGGGGTGGCAGGTGAACAGCATTCTCCTGGGTAAGAACATTCACTCACCTCTGCCAGGATTCTAAATACAAAATAAACAGCCATATGACATTCTTTTTCAATGTAGAGAATCAATGAAGTAAGTCAGAGGGCAATGCATTTTGTGTGGCCTTTTCTGGACCATTCAAAAATCCCACAAGTCTTTCCCTTTTATCACTGACTTAATAGTTAATACTAAGGTGAGAAAACAGATCATATTTTAAGGCTCTTCTTCAAGAGGGATTTACATCTTAAACTAGGCAATAATTTAGCCCAAACAAAAATAGTGTGCTTGTAAAACTTCAGCTATTGGGGAAAGGGATGCAGAGGGGTGTTTAGGTGCCCCAAAGTTACAATTTTAAGTGGTTACCTGATGTAAGCTGCTGTCCATCTCCCTGCCCCTGCGCTTGACAGGGTGCAAAGGGCGCAGGTGCCTCCCTGGGTTAAGTTCAGGCACAAGCCCCATACTTAACAGCCCCTGATTTACACGTTTTTATCACCCCTCTCCTAGCCCCTCTTTCCTTTCATTCCTTTCCAGGCCTGGTTCATCCTTGTCTTTGCACCCAGCACCAGACCTAGGAGTTAAGCAAATGTTGACCAAATTGAATTAAATGAACCAGAGGGTCTGGGCCCTGGGTGAAGGTCAGCCATAGATCAAAATGTCACTGCCAGGCTCCGCCAGGCTTCGATGGATATGGGAGTGTGTTGGGTTTGGGTTTTGTTTTGTCTTGTTTTGTTGGGAGTGGAGGTGTTAGGGAAGGTGGGAGGGGAAATCACTTGAGAGGGCCATTCCCATACCCACTGGTTCAGACCCCTGCGGCCCACAGTAAAACCCGGCCCTGCCCCCAAGGAATTCACAGAGCAAGGATTGATTTCTCCCTGGTGGAAAAGTGCAGGAGGAAGCTAGGACAGAAGGTACGTTGAAGGTGAAGGCGTAGCAAGGGCTGACAGTCCAGGAGGGCCATGAGCCCTCCGGAGTATCCAGAAAAGATGGACTAGATTGCCCCGCCCCCTGCCCACCCGTGTGAATAGTTTCCGGATCTCTCTATTCCAGTCATCACAAAAAGTCCCAAACCTCCTCCCTACATCTCCACGATCTTCTTCCTCAAACGCATGTGATCAGGTACCACGTCAAGAGAAATACCAGCTTGAAGCCCAGCTACTGCCACCACAGGCCCATAGGCACACTGGGTCCATTTGCTCCCAGGCTTCAGGGGGAGGCGACGATTGAGCACCTGCAACTCTAGCCTCGCAGCGGCCCCGCCCCACAGCGGCCCGGCCCCGCCCCTCCGCGCTCAGGCCGCGTCCCCAGCTCGGAGGGCGGCTGGCCGGGTCGCGGTCGCGGTTCCTTCCAGCTCCTGGCAGCCGGGCACCCGAAGGAACCGGTCGTTCAACGACACAGCTGGACCTGGCCCAGCCATGGACCGAAAAGTGGCCCGAGAATTCCGGCATAAGGTCAGAGCTGTGGGGCGCCCCAGGCTTCTGGGACTCCGGAGTCCTGGGCGCGGTGGGTAAGGGGTGGACACCCCGGCACTGCCCCTCCCTTTTCCGGCCCCACCTGATGGCTCTGGGTGGGCTGGGACACCCGAAGGTCGTTTGACTGGCAGCAGGGATCCCCAGTAAAGTGAGGGAGGGAACACGGGGACTCCGGGCTCAGGTACTGCTAAACAGATCGATCTTCTGCCAAGCTTTCTCCCTCTGCCTTCCAGGGGCGGGGACGTCTCGGGGGTTTGAATTCCTTCCAGTCTTGGCCGCTTCTCTGAGGTGCCCCCTTTGTGGGCAAGTCCCTCTCCTTCCTAGTGCCCCCAGCTCAGGGCTGATGAGGCTTGTGGAGAGAGTCTGGGGCAGTATCTGAGAGGTGAGTGTTGGGAGAAGGGAAACTAGACGTCTCTCTCTCTGCCTTTTGACCTCAGAACGTGAGTTAGAAGCATTTCAGCCCTGCCTGCCTAAGGGCGTTTCTTAGGGCCTGAGAAGTAGCTGAGGAGCTGGTGCTGACCCGGGTGCGGTGGGGAGGAAGGGAGGAGGTATTGAGGGCGTGGGAGCTGGGCTCTGGCCAGCCAGATCCTTCAGGCAGAGCCGGGTCCACCCTGGCGTGTCCCAGTGAGGGGCCTCACTGGTGGTCTGGGATCCGAAAGGACCATCACTGGAAGCGGCTGGATTTTACACAGGGCATTTCCAGAACAATTCACAAAGCTATGCAGAATCTGCTGAGGCCCTGAGACCAGAGAGGGTCATCAAAGATATCCAGCCGACCTCTTCACCAGGCCTTAGGATGCCTCTGAGTCTGGGGATGAAGCCACGGAGGGTTGGGGGAGTGGGGGTGGAATCTGGATCTCCCCACAGGCCCTGCCTGAGGGGCAGGTAACTATTAACAACTGTGTGACCCAAGGCTCTCCCAAAGACCCCAGGGGGGCAGTGTCTTTAGACCAAGCCAAACCTCTTCCTGGTCTGAGGACTGAGCTCAGGTAGGGAAGGTCAGGGTCCTTAACCCCTTCCTTCCCATAGAGAGGCCCATAGGAGCCCAAGGAGCCAGCCAGAGTAGGGGCCGCAGGGGCTTGGGGCCAAGGGCCCAGGGTCAATTATTCATTTAATAATCATGTTTTGAGCATCCTCCCAGCGATACCCAGTCTGTGCCCTCAAATTGCTGGTGGTGTAGGTGGGAAGCAGACTCTACTCTGGTAATTACCCATGTCTGGGTGCTGCCTGTTGGGGCCAAGCTTTTGTAGGGGCACAAAGGGACAGCTCAAACTGGCAGAAGGCTCCTGAAAACATGGTCTTGGGCATCCCTGGTCCTGCTCCCACGGGTGGGCGATAGCTGGAAGTTCAGTAGGAATTTAGGGGCTGGCGAATGCCAAGGGGAGCTTGAGACAGCATTCACCGGTACATCCTGTTGCAAAGAGACATGTCGGAAGAAATTTCAGCCGCTAAGGACATTTTGTGAGTGTAGATTTCAGGCAACCCAGTTTGAAGGAGCTCAACCTTCCGTCCCCCAACCCAAGACTCAGGGTTGAATTTCACTTTCCTGCCCCTGGCCTGAAATAATGTCAGGTCTTCTGCCTTCACTCTGTGGGGTACCTACTCTGTCTCTTTTGCAAGAATCGTCTCCTGGGTCCCTGGTGTCTGATGCAGACCCTGGGTTTGCCCTGTTCCTCTTCCCCAGGTCCCACAGGCTTCAAAGGGCCTCCGACCTCCATGTTTCCTCTGCCCTACTCTTCCTCATCACAAGAGTCATTACTTATTAATATCCCTGTGTGCTGGCAGGGCAGGCGCCATGTGCTAGGCAAGGCCCAGGCTGGACTTTGTGCCTTGCTGCCTTGGAGACAGCCACAGCCTTCCCCTCCCAGGCTGGGGATCATCCAGGAACTGGGAGAGAGGATGAAGCAGCAGGGGATAGAGAGGAGGCACTCAGATATGCTGGGAGAAATTTACAGCTTGCTGTTGTTTGCTTTGTAGGGGTACCTTCCTTAGTGTTTTGGAGGAAATGGTTTATGATCTAAATCCTTGGTTGTTGGAGGTAATATTTAAGGTAGTGTGTTATAATGGAAAATGCTGTGTGACCTTGAGCAACTCAATTAATCTCTCTGTGCCTCAGTGCTCTTATTTGTGAAAAGAGATAACAATATTTAACTAATAAGGTTATCATGAATGTTGAATGAGATCTACATGTGTGTGGGGAGCTTAAACAGACCCTAGCACTTAGGGAGCCCTCAATAAATGTCCACTGTTATTTATTATCTGGAGTTAGCAGAACTGGGACCATATCTTAGCCCTGTTACTGTCAGGAAGACCTTGGCCAAGCCACCCACTCTCCCTGAGTTTTAGTTTCTTCAGCTGTGAGATGGAGTTTGTGGTACTTACCTCACAAGACAGACAAGACTGACTAGCAATTAAAGTACTGGCTGCTCTGGGCCCACAGTAACCACACTTTTTCCAACTGATACCTGCAGAGTGTCCAGTGTGAGCCAACAGACTCCAGGCATCAACTCCTTTTGATTTGTGAAGTTACCCCAAGGTTGCCAGGAGCACTTGCATGCCCTTCCAATAACTAGTAGCAACCTTGGGCCAGGATTTGGGGGAGCAGGGCTTGGTCAGAGACTGTTTTCTCCCTCAGAGAAGCAGCTTTCAAAAGGAGACTGCTCCTCTGTTCGCAGCACCAGCACATGGCAGGAACTTGGTTACTCATTTGCTTAAAAGTATTTATTGCCTCTTCAGCAGTCACACATTTATGAGCATAGCTGTGTACTCTGCCTGAGGCCAGGCATTGGACGACCTGGTGGGATGAATAAGAAGATCAGAAACAGCCACCACTCTCTAGGAATTTGCTAATCATTCATTCATTCACATAGGCAATAAATATTGACTGAGTTCTCAATATATGCCAGGCAGTACTCTAAGCACTGAAAAACAAAATAATGCCCTTGCTCTCTTAGACAGTACATTCTAGTGGGGAGGACAGACAGTTAAAAGGAAATCGACAAAAGTATCGTGTAATGCCAGGTAGTGATAAATTATATGAAGAAATAAACTAAGATGGGGAGAGAGATAATAAGTAACAAGGTGGGCAGTCAGGAAGGCCTCTCTGAAGAGGTGACGTCTGAGCAGAGACCTGGAATAAGTGAGGAGAGGAGCCACGGGGATACATGTAGAAGAGCGTTCCCCAAAGTGGAAGCAGCAAGTGCGAAGGCGCTGAGGCCAGCAGATGCCTGCCTGTATGGAACAGCAAGTAGGACAGTGTGTCCCAGAGGAATCATTTGTAGATAATGGTGAGAAATGGGTCAGAGGGGTGATAGGGGCCTGATAGGCCATGGTTAGGTTGGGATTTTCTTATAGTGTGAATGATTTACATTTAAAAGGAATTTTCTGGCTGCCCTGTAGAGAATCCACTGAGGGGCCCAAGAGTAGAAGGGGGACCTCAGTCAGGAGGCTCCTGCAGGACCCCAGGCCAGAGGCAGGGGGTCAGACTCGGGTGAGAATGGGTCAGATTCAGGATACATGTTTTTGCTGATGGACTGGCTGTGAGTGTAGAAAGAGAGGCATCAAGGGTGAATTCACATTTGGGGGAGAAGCAGCAGGTTGGTGGAGACAGAGCAGGAGGTGGTGGAAACCTAACATTCCACTTTGAATGCTGTAAGTTTGAGACACCTACTAGAGGTGACTGAGAAGGCTGTAGGTCTGGCCTGGAGATAAACATCAGTAGGTCCTTGGGGGTGTAAGTGGTATTTAAACCCCTGAGACGGATGAGTTCACTTAGAGAGATGGTGCAGATGGAGAGGAGACCCAGGACAGAGCCTGGGGCACCACAACTTTTGGAGGAGAAGGAGCAGCAAGTGAGGGAGAACAAGAAGAAGCAGGGCATGATTGCTGTGCCAGGCACTGGGCAAAATACTACAAACTAGCTGACAGGTCAAGAGCCTCTGAAAAGATGAAGGGCACTGTTTATGGCCTTGATGGTGGTGATGCTTTCACACGTGCACGTCTATCCCCAAACTCATCAGGTTGTATACACTAAATATATACGGCATTTTACATGTCAGGCATACCTCAATAAAGTGGTTCCAGAAAAAGAAAAGAAGTCAGGTGCAGTGGCTCACACCTATAATCCCAGCATTTTGGGAGGCTGAGGTGGGAGGATTACTTGAACCCAGGAGTCTGAGACCAGCCTGGGTAACATAGCCATACCCCATCTCTACAAAAAAATACAAAAATTGACTAAGTGTGGTGTTGTGCACCTGTAGTCCCAGCTACTTGAGGGGCTGAAGCAGGAGAATCAATTGAGTCTAGAGGCTGAGATTGCAGTGAGCTGTGGTCACACCACTGCACTCCAGCTTGGATGACAGAGTGAGACCTGGTCTCAAAAAAAAAGAAAAAGAAAGAAAGAAAGAAAAAGAAAAGAGAGAGAAAGAAAGAGAAGAGAAGAGAAGAGAAGAGAAGAGAAGATGGATAATAAGAAAACAAGAGTTAAATAAAGCCTGGTACCACTGGGATGCACACTCTGAAGGCCTGGGAAGAAGTGTGGCTGGATCTATTCATCCCACTAACATCTACAGAGGGCCACTAGCTACCCACTGCTGTGGATATGGAATTTATATCCACTTATTCTCACTTAGTTTTATGTAACAAACACAGGACTTACTACTTGCCAGGCACTGTTCTAAACTCTTCATAATTATTAACTCATTAAATTAATACTAAAAAACAATTATTAGTCTCTCTTAGTGATTAAATCCCATTTTAAAAAGAGATGTTTGTACCCATTTTACAGATAAGGAAACTAAGGCACAGAGCGGTGCAGACCCAGTTGGGGAAGGGGTTCTTTGGCTCCACCACCACACTCACAACCCAGGCCTGCGTCTGGGCCACACACAGGCTTGTGGGGAGACAGGGGGGTAAAAGGAGAAAGTTCAGCACAGCTTAGAGAGTCCCATGGGGACAAAGAGTTGTTTGTGTGCACAGAGAAAGATGTGGCCAGCTTTGTGGGGGAGCCTAAAGAAAGACTTGACCAAGAAGAGGTGACATTTGAAGTGAATCTTAAAGGTAGAGGAGGAGTCCACAGAAAAGAAATACTGCTAGTACCACCACTGTTAATGGTTAACCAGGGTGGCAGCAGGGAGCAGGTGGCTCGTCCAAGGGGGAAGCCAAGAAATCTTTATGAAGAGTTTCTGCAGAAAAGGGCAGGATTAAATGACCCAACAGGCTGCACCCTGGGGCCAGATCCAGGAGGCCAGCACCCCTGAAGGGGCCAGGAGAGGGAAGGTTACCAGAACAGGTGAGAACCAGGACTGCCAGAGAGGCCCAGACAGGAGCTGCAGCCTTGGGCGGAGGAACCTGCCTAACTGTGGCCCAGCAGCCAGCCCCCAG